CTCTAATTGGCAACTGGGTGGCGCTATAACAACAGAAAAATGCTTCAAAATGGCTAAAATGCGACTGATCACTGTGGCTCCCCCTGTGGACCAATATTTGTTTGTTTTTTAATTTTTGGTATGACTAAGTCATGGTATGGTATGCTGTACATAATGACGGAAACTGTCAGTGTGTCATTCTGTCAGTGTGTCATTCTGTCTGTCCCACGTTTTTCAAAAACTCTGTCTGAATACATTGCTCTTCTTAATGGGTTCAGTTGACTATTTAATCTGCAATTTCCTATGACCTGTATCCCACACCATGTGAAACTGTACATGGGCAACTGTGCACTCAATGGGTATGGACTAGTTTGTTATTATGAGGTCAAAACCTGCAAATCCACCAGTGAGTGTTACCTTGTGCACACACTACCTGGTCTCTTCTGCCCTCTACAGTCACAAGTAGGAAATGACACTGGACACTAACATCTCAGACAAATAAATGATCTTGTAACTGCAACTTAAAATGTTACTGCAGTGTAATAGTCAGTGTCCATGTACAGACGATGTACAATATTTGCTTGTGATGTGTATTACAAACAGCTGTCATTATTGTGTCCGAGCAGGCGATGGTGAGAGCAGGAGTCCAGGTCACAGACAAGAAAGATGTGCTAGCACTGGAAAACAAGGGTAAGTACCTGCTCACTTCCTTTTTATTGCAAACATGCATCCTGTGCAGAACAAACACAACTAACTCCAGTCTCCCTCTCTCTGAACAGGACGTGCCCACACTGCTCAAAGAGAATCTGAGGTCACCATCATTTCATCTAACGTCCTGAGCTACGAGGAGTGTAACTCAGACCTGCAGGTGCTCACTCCAGGCTGTGATGATGAAGCAGCCGGTGCTGCAGTGTCACGGCCTCTGCTGGTCAGACAGCTGCTGGTGTGTCGTGGCCTGACTGTGCTGTTCATGGTGCTCATCCTTGCAGCTGGGATATTCACCAGCAAAATGCTTCTCAAGCTGCTCAGATGACAGACCCTATACTGACTGCTGGTTGTCTCACAGCTGTGTGGCATCATTTTGTGACACAGCAGACAAAGTCATGCGTTAAAAACAGGCTCAATTTATTCTCCCAGAGTCAGCAAAGTAATATATTATTTCTTTATGATCTCCACATTTCATACGCTTTGAGTTTGATTTGTTTGAATAAAAGTAAATTATTAGTTACAATGTCTGTGCTTTGTAATTAATGTAACAGCATACCTTACATGTGTCCCAACAAGGCAGGTGTGTTTTTGGTTTCCATGCAATGCAGGCTTACATAAAATAAACATAACACACTGCAGACCTGCTTTTAAAAGAGCCACTGATCCATTGCTGAAAATAAAACCGTGATTTTTTTTTTTAATTTTGTTTGTGTCTGTTTTCCTTAAAAGCCATCTTAATATTAAACTCATGGGATTTTACTGTGTCTGCATTACTATCAGAGTGCCCCTGATGTTTACTGCCAAAACAGGTGAGGACAGAAGAGATACTGAAGCTGCCGTGTAACTTGAAAGTCATGTTTGAGGCAGGTTTGAGTGCATTTTCTTCTCAGCCGCAGGACTGTGATTGGGGCTTTTTGGTTGTGTCACTCTACAGTCCACATTTTTTGTCATTTTGTTCTGTAAACTAAATTGGAGAAAGGCTGCTGAAGAAGTGAATGACCACATCTTGAATCAATAATAAGAAGGAATGTTAGTGTTTTACTGGGGTTTTACAGAGAATGCAACATAATCATACTAATAGTAATCATGGTGCTTTTCAAAACTGAGTTACGAAGTGCTTTACATGTCAATAATTAAAACAGACAAGACATGAAAACAACTTTTAAAAGAACTGATAAAAACACTTCAGTATATAATTTGCTGATCCTGTAAAATTATTTATCTCCTTTAACTTTAGCTTAAATTGTAGTTATGCTATGTAGTGTGTGAAATAGAGTATGGTGAATGTGCTAGGAAAGGTAGTATCAGCACTGTCTCTACCTGGAGCTCACATGTACGGAGCCTGGGTTTGTTGAAGG